TTGAGACTGGGCGTGGTGGCGTGCGCCTGTAATCCCAGCTCTTGGGAGGCTGTAAACAGGTGGATCACTAAGAGTCTGATCTAGTAGCAAGACCCTGAACACCCTTTTGACTGTTGCCTAAAATACAAAACACAAAAAACAAAATTTATTTCCATAGTGTAATAAATTAGATTTTTTAATTCTGATCTCTATAAATTATTAGTATATTATTACTTGTAGTTAGTTATTTGGTGTCCTTCTTGAAAGAAAAATACAATAAAAAGACACTAAAATAAAAATACAGTAAAAAGGCACCAGATACATCTCAGTAGCATCATTGAAGTTCTCAACATTAACAGTGCACTTAAAATTGTTAGACATCAAGTTTTTTCTCGTTGTTCAAATGTCAATGAACAAATGATTGATAAATGACTTAAAAATTTTGAAATCTCTTAATTTATCTACACTGAGTATAAAAGCCACTTTATTGGACAGTTAAGGTACTTGGCCTTTTACATTAAATTACTGATCTAATTGGAGGAGCAATTAGTTGTACAATAATGGTGGAGACATTAATGTTAATTTTAAAACATTAAATCTAATCTAGATCTTAAGAGGTTATTGAATTTTCCAGTAACTTATTCTAATAGATTTTGCCAACTAAACCGACTGAGCATTTCAAGCTCAAAAATCCAAAAATTCAGATGGCTTTTGACTTAAGATTATTTGAATCAAAAATACCTAATAGTAAAGTATGTGCAAATACAGTATTCCACAGTCGAAGTCTCAGAAATCTGAAACATTTCTAGTCTTGACCAGTTGGATGTGGGATACTGAACTGTATGTAAATTTTTTAACAGTGAGTCTTAGCTAATTTTGTGGGTTTTTTAACATCCAGATTACTCACGATAAAGAAAAAGCAGAACGGAAAAGAAAAGCTGAAGCTGCCAGGCTGCATCGCCAGAAAATCATGGCTCAAATGTCTGCCTTACAGAAGAACTTCATTGAAACTCACAAACTCATGTATGACACCACATCAGAAATGCCTGGGAAGGAGGACTCCGTCATGGAGGAAGAGAGGTAAAGCAAGGCAAAATCAAAAATTAATAGCTCAGTCTCACAAGTATAAGGTCCTGAGTTCAATTCCAGGTACCAATAACAATAATAATAATAATAATAGCTCAGCTTTTGGAGAAAACATTAAGTGTTCACTTTAAATCATGCATTTCTAAAATATTGTTATGAGAGCAAAGATGTGAAACTGGGAATACCAGTAATAGAAACTGACCCCTACTATTTTGTATGTAAGATC